TCCTCTCTGTATAAAAATCAATAAAAATATATTAAAAAATAAATAAATAAACAGAAGGCACATTGAAGTCCTTTGTTACATATTTTTATTATACCCATGTTCCTAAATAAATGACATTAAATCCACTACTGACTGCGGTGGGTTAGTCCACTGAGTTACTGACCAGCCCATCTGTATCTGGACAATCCAGGGGTCCCGGCTGCCTGGGGCCAATTCAGCAGAGACAGAGCTGAACCATACATGAGCATTTATTCCAATCCTGTGTGCAGCGTGGGGGAGCAGCGGGTCACCCACAAACATCTGCTCTACACCCCCATGTGCCAGCTGCTCATGTTGGGTAGAAGGACAGAGATGACCTGGGGAAGCAGGCAGAGGGTAGGCCACATGGGCAGTTTACAAGTCATCGGGCTGGGGATTTGCAAAGGCCTGTGGGTATGAAAGGGCTGGGGGCTCCGGTTTCTGCAATGTTGTTAGTGTTTCCATGGAAACAGGCAGCTCCCTGTGGGGAGGACGGCTGCATTTCCAGGTGAGCTCCCAGGTCCCCCCTGCAGCCCCAGCCAGGTGAGAACGTGCCTTCTTCAATCAGAACAAAACCATGGTTCACAGAGCAGGATTGATATTTCTCGCAAATCGAGCTGGTCCCCAACATTCTGTTTCTGCCCCGATCACACCCACACGGCCAAGTTCACCAGAGACGCCTTCTCCTGGGGATCATAGGACGTCCTGGTTTCCCGTGGCCGGCCCGCCCTGAGATTGCCGTGACCCGAGACAGAACTCCCCGTCCAGGCAATGGAGGCGCCGGGGTGACTTACATTCTCTCACATGATTGTGGCACCAATTACCCCAGACCCGGGAGGGAACAAACCCTCCGAACCAGGGCTTTTGTCAGATTTCCCAGAGGGCCGAGCGGCACAGTTCCTTTTCCTTTTCTGCAATTATTTTCCAATTAATCTGCTGCTGGCCCAGTTCGCTTTTATTCAGTCCTGGAGCCATTGCCTCACACCCAAATGAGTTTCCTCTTTCTATTGTTAGCCACATTTCTCAAAAGACTTTAAAACTTTCTGCTTCCTTTCCACGCTGTTCTGTGGGGGAAGCTCGTTCCTCAGTCTCTTGCCTCCGGGAGAGCTCCGCGGAGCTGCAAAGTAGAACACTTTTCTGCGGGTGGGAGACGTGGAGGAGTTTTGGCAGGCGTGGGAGGTGGATTCTGAGGCCACACCGATCGCCCCCGGGGTCTTACATGTCACCCTTAGTGACATGCCCTAAGTCCCCAGCAGTCATGGTAAACACAACACATTAAACTAGAAGCCGTGTGTGGAGGCTTTACCCTGTGCTGTGTTCCTTACACAGATCATCCTATGCCGCCTTATCACAGCCCTAAGAGAGGCTGTTAGGGTGATTGATGAAGAAAGCAAAGAATTCCAACGTTTAAGTAAGTTGCCTGAAATCATTCCACTTTTGAGCAGCCAAGACCGGCTGAGTCCCCGCCCTCGCTCTCGATGCCATGCTTCTCCAACTGGGGCCGCAGGCCAGCCCTGTCGGCATCATTTGGGAAATGTTAGAGGCCAATTCTTTCTTTCTTTCTTTCTTTCTTTTTTTAATATACTTTATTGATTTTTACAGAGAGGAAAGGAGAGGGTTAGAGAGAAACATCGATCAGCTGCCTCCTGACCACCCCCTACTGGAGATATGCCCGCAACCAAGATACATGCCCTTGATCAGAATCAAACCTGGGATCCTTGAGTCCGCAGGCTGACGCTCTATCCACTGAGCCAAATCGGTCAGGGCGAGAGGTCAATTCTTGAGCTGCCCCCCAGATCTACTGAGCCAGACATTCAGGGAACAGGGCCCTCTGGGGGGTTCCGATGGTGCTGGAGTTCGGGAAGCCCTGTAGGCCCGAAGGGATTGAAGGCATCGCGGCTGTGGTTGGGGAACGGGAAGTCTAGCTGGGACAGGACTCCAGACCCTGGGGCTGCCAGGAGGGACCGGTGGCCTCCCGCCCCTCCGGAGGGCTGCAGAGTCCCCTTGCTCCAGGGACCCTGACACCCCCAGGCGCTGGGCAGTGCGCCTTCCTCTGAACTCCCGGGACAGCCACCCTCCGGGTTTCAGGAACAGTACAATGGGATGGACGTGGTCTCAGAGTCAGCGTGATACACAGTGATGCCAACCAGCGATTCTCCCCTTCTTACCGTTACCTCGCTGGCCTCCGTCAAACCCTAGAGTGAAGTAGGTGAGATGGGGAAACTCGGCTCCGAGGAGCTCGGTGACTAGCCCTACAGTCTCCCCCATAGCCCTGGGCCTCCAAGCCCAGCCTTTCCCTCGAACCCCAGACTCTGTCACAGCAGGCCAGGCTGCACAGCGATAGCGTTAACCCTCCAGGAAAGGGTCCCTTCCTCCCTGGGCGCCCAGCCTCCGGTCTCAGACTCCGGGGAGCCCGGGTGACACAGGGACTGGGCGTTCCCTTATAGGGTTGTTTGAAGCCGGAAAGCGTAACAGATCCCTGTACCTTCCAGACGCACACAGGTGCTGATGTGTGTCACGGGCAGCTTCCCTGGCGAATGCACTGCCTTGATGGCAACATCTTGACCGTTCCTTTCCACCAGAGTAAATGGGTCCTAAGGGAATGCTGCCATTGCCTGGCGCCTGGGATGAGTATCTACTCAGTGTGACAGACACATCCTACTGCGCTTCCCTTCACCACCGAGCTTCCTTCCTGAGAAAGTGGGAGTCCTCTCCTCCCTCTTTGCCTGTGGCCTCAAGCGCTGTGAAAGCCAGGATCTAGACGGAACCAGCCCTGTGATTTCTTATGATTATTCCGCCCTCTCTCTCCAGGGGCGCGGGAAGCGCCTTTTCCTGGCTCTGCGTCTCTGGTGGTGCCATTCTGGCTTCTGGTCTTTCTCCCCGATCGCCACGGCTCAGGGACATCAGGAAGAGAACTGGGTGGAAGGTTTGGAGAAGTACAGGTTGTCCTGGAGACGTCCATCACGGCGCTGGGCCCGCCCCCCGCGTTGCTAAGGGAACCAAGCCCCGCCCCGCACAGGTGCGGAGGGGCGGCGCAGAGGAGGTTTGGCGGAAGCAGTCCTTGCCCAGGGTCCAGAGGAAAGGCCAGCTGCCGTCTGGGAACTAGTTAAACTCGTTAGAAATGCAAGTTCTCGGGCCCCGCCCCGGACCCGCTGAATGGCAGGCAGGCTCACCAATCATGGTGCATGCGCAGCCAGTTTTTATTTTTTATTTATTGTTATTATTGTTGTTGTTGTTGTTATTATTATTATTATTATCCTGAACTGCTAATCACAGCTGATTGGAACGGAGAGGACTCAAGTGCAGCTACGCCATAAGCTGCCCGTGGGGGGCTGGGGTGAAAAAGGGGGGGGGGCGGCTGGGCGGGGCTTCCCCGCAGTGACCCCCGCGAGGGAAACGGGTCGGGGTGTCGGCTGCACCTGCAGCGGCCTGAGGCTGCGCCGGAGTGTGCGAGCCCCAGAGGGTCCTGGGCGACCTGGGAACGGGAACTGTGGCCAAGCAGAAGCTGCGAGGCAGAACTACAGAAAAGCCACCGAGCAGACAGCGGGGCAGGCGGGACGCGGGCAGGGAAGGACCACGCGTGCCCTGGGAGCTGGCGGTGCGCCTGCTGTGGCCTCTCGGGTTCGGTTCTGCTCCTGGCTGCGCCCGGCCCCTCTGAAATAGGGCTGTTCCGTTTTCTGCAGCTCCTGTGCTGTGTCCTTCACACGTGTTTCTTCCCGGCATTTTCTTCAAGGATACTCCAGCCTTTTTTCCTGGCGTTTTCAGGGAGGGAGAGAAGACCAAACGATCCGAGCAAGAAAAGGAGAAAAGAAGCAAATGAAAATGAAATGGGAAGTTCCCCCCAAAGTTCCCCTCATTGGCTGCGGCACAGCCTAGCAAAACTAAGAAGCCAGGCTTCCCATCAGGTGGCTTCCAGCAGCAGAGAAGCTGCCCCTCGGGACTTCTCACTTTTGCCGCCTAAATACACAAGGGAAAGTGTCCAATTATTTAAAAAGAAAAACATCGGAATGCTCGTTTTATATATTAAATAGGCTGGTAATTGTGATAGTCATAACCAATATTTTGAGCTATTCCTAGATACCAAGCAATGTTCGACATAGCTCACATTGTAAAGAAGATTTTTAATGTCCTTTCCACAAGGACTAGAATTTCCATCTGTTTTGTTCCCGGCTGCTCCCTCGGTGCCTGAAACTGCTCTGCAACATTCTACTTCAATACACACCTGTTGACCGAATTCAAACGGATCTTCGCAAACCCTTGGGTGGAGATGCTGTTCCACACGTGGCTCAGTCCCTCCTGGCAGGAAGATGGAGCGTCACAGCCTAAATGTCTGCCTGAGCTTCATCCTGCCAGGCAGCGAGCCTCTGCTGGGACCAAGGCCCTGACCTCCAGGGTCGGTCTTACAAATGTCCTGAGCACTGTTATCTGTTCAGATGATGTCTTTTCACAGTCTGAAGGTTTTTATTCTTTCGATCTTCCATTCAGTCATTCAACAAATGTTTACGGAGCACTTCTACGTACCTCGTCTGGTTCTAGGCGTGGAGGATATAGCATTGAATGCTAAAAAAAAACGCTGTACCTGCCCCCAGAGAGAGACAGGAGACCCAGTGCGGTGGCGTTTAAATCTCATTTTTGACCTTGAGCAAGTCTCTGCCTTGCTCTGCGTACCCAATATCACAGGGTGGTTGTGAGGACTAAATGGACTTCCAAAGAGGGAGGTGCTTAGCACGGTGCCTGGCACCTGGCGAGTGCTAACTTAAATTTTTTCAATTTTTTCAGCCAAGAAATAATAACGGGGCGCATAGTCTGTGGAAGGCCAGGAGGATTTTTGTGGGGCTTTGTCATGTTTTTGCATCAGCAGAGCCTAGGAGGTGCGCGGCCAAAACGAGGCGGCCAGAGAGGTGGCGAGCAGATGGAAAAGTCACGTCCCAGGCGCGTCAGCCCGCGGGACCGGCCCCTTTAAGGAGGGCGGGACCACGTGACCCACACAGTCACGTGGCGCGCAGGACAACATGGCTGCGCCCGCGCTGGGGTGGGCCGGTGGGCGCCGCGCCGCGCTCCGGCTGCTGGTCCTGCTGCCGCTGCTCGCGCTGCCGGGCGGGGCGGCGGCGGGCGCGGAGGCCGGGGCGGGCTCGTGCGGCTGCGGCGCCCCCCAGCGGCCCGGGGTCCCCGGCAGCGCGGCCGCCGCGCACCGCTACTCCCGGGAGGCGAACGCGCCGGGCCCGGGTTCTGCCCCGCGGCCTCCCGCGCCTGCCAAGGTGCGCTCCCGACCCCGGCGGCGTGTGCGGTCCCCGGTTCTGCGGACGGGCGGGCGGGGCCCGGGCAGGAGCAGGCGGGGGCGGGGAAAGGTGGCCGCCACACCCACGCCGTCCCTCCCGCTTCTCCGGGTCTGCGCGCAGCTTCGGGGGATTTACTTGGAGGCCAGCTACCCCTCATCCTCCCACCCCCTGTCTCCGGCCCCTCTCCCTGCCTTAGTAAGGAATACCCAGAATTTTAAGTCACGGGGTTGGGGTTGAAGGGCCGGTTCCTCCCTCGTTGTCTGAGGCAATCCGGCCTCCGCGTCCCTGACTTGATCGCCCGCTTGTGGGTCGTCTCTGGCAGGAAGAAATCCGAGGGCCAGGACCTGCTGTCCCGGTGTTCCTGGCCCTGCAGCGCGTGGGCAGGGCAGGGCTTGTCAACAGCAGCTGCCCTCTTGGCCGGGTCACTGCTGATGAGCATTTGGGTTGTTTATCTTTGTTACAAACAGCTGTCATAAACCTCATTGCGGGCAGAGCCTGATTGCAGGAAGTTTGGGAGGGCTTCAGGGTGGGGAATGGATGAGTGGAGGGTCCAGGGCTTAGGAGCAAGGAGTGTGAGGAAGGGTGAGGCCAGACAGGGAGGCCAATGGTGAGGCAGTATCTGGGGTTAGAGGAGGGAGGGGGGCTGGAGGGATGGAAGTTTGGGAGACCCGGCAGGACTGGTGACCTCTGGTGTTGGGGTCCGGGGACGGGAGTAGTCAAGCCTGATTTCTGAAGACAAGTAATAGGACATTTTTGACCCACATGTCATAAATGAACACAGTGCCATGTGCATTGGGACACGCAGGCTTGGAATTGAAGGTGATGGCTAGCAGAGACAGTGAGTGGAAATACAAAGTAGGAACCCATGGTGGTTGACCATGGGAACCAAGGAGTTGCAATTAGGAAGTAATTGGGACAAGGGCATGGGGACGAGGCATGGCCCTTAGGCTCTTTAGATGTTCCATCCCAGCGACTTACGACATTTCCATTGTCACTGGAGGCCCACATTCATTCCGTGGGTTTTTAAAGACATTCCGTCTGGCATTTTTACATTTGCTTTTAACAGTAATTCAAAAGGAACTGGAGGGTGCTAAAGGGTAAAAGCCTACGTATGTGGAAGTGGAATGCTCTCCATGACTCTGCTCTCCAGTCACTGGCAGGCTGGGGCTGAAGCCAGACCCGCTGCCTCGGCAGGCCCTCGCGTTTACCGGTAGAGCTTAACCAAAGAAACCTTTGTTCTAAGGTGTTTGCGTTGTTGTGACCGGTCCTCCCGTTCCTCGGGGTGCTGCACAGTGATTTCCGCCCGTGGGGTTTGCTCCATCCCGGGTGGGTGTTCATTGTGTGCCGGGCCCTCTCCTCCCCTGCAGATGGCCTCCATTCCCGCCGGCGTGTTCACCATGGGCACGGATGACCCTCAGATCAAGCAGGACGGGGAGGCGCCCGCCCGGAGAGTCACCGTGGACGCCTTCTACATGGACGTCTATGAAGTCAGCAACGCGGACTTCGAGAGGTTCGTGAACGCCACCGGCTACCTGACCGAGGTAACGGGTCAGGGCGGGGAGGGACGGCCTGCTCTCCCACCGCTTTTCCTGCGGGCCCGGCTCTGTGCTAAGCACTCTGCATACATAGCATCTAATTTAATTCTAGCAGCTCCGTGCGGCCGGTTAGCTTTTAGGTAGCAAGCCGAGGCTTAGAAAAGTGGCTTGCCCTGATCGCAGGCTGGTTGGTGGGGAGCTGGGGTGCCAGCGTGGCCGGTGTGGCCCAGGGCCTGTGCCCTTTGCTGTTCTGCTGTATCGTCTTAGTGCTTCCATGTGCCCGGCCGTGCCACTGCCCACCGGGCCTTTGGGATAGCAAACTATATGGAAAGCCACGTTTCCCGCTCAGGAAGTTGCAGTTTGGTTGTTTCAGAAACCTGTTTCCCAAGAGACAGGTGCCGAGAGGCAGCGTTGCGTTTTCCTGATTGTAGGCCAGTGCCTGGTGACTCGTAGGCGACCCCGTGGCAGGCAGGGCCGGCCTCCTGCTGTGGCCTCTGGATCAGGAAGCCGGGGCTGAGCCGATGTGTCCTGACCGGAGGAGGGACAGGAAGGCTGTCCCGTGCGGGTTCCTGTGAGCGTCTCCGTTGTGCTGGTCCTCTAAGCTGCTGTTTCCCTGCTCTCTCACCACGGACGCCACCCTCGCCCTCAGTGTGTGGAGTCCCTGTCCTTTTTTTTTTAAATTAAAAACAACTTGAGGCCAAAACCGGTTTGGCTCAATGGATAGAGCGTCGGCTTGGGGACTGAAGGGTCCCGGGTTCGATTTCAGTCAAGGGTATGTACCTTGGTTGCGGGCACATCTCCAGTAGGGGGTGTGCAAGAGGCAGCTGATCGATGACTCTCTCTCATCGATGTTTCTAACTCGCTATCTCTATGCCTTCCTCTCTGTACAAAATCAATAAAATATATTAAAAAAACAACAACAACAACTTGAGAGCGAATGCTGACGGTGAGGCATTCAGCATGGGCTTCGCGCTGTTCTGTTTCTCGGGCTTTCCCTAAAATGGGCAGCGCGCTGTGTCTCTTCGCGCCTGTTTGTGGAGGCAGAGACCCCGCGCTCCCTGTGCCCTGAGGGTGCTCTCGCCAGGTTCATCCGATGAAGTTAGCGGCGACTCTCAGGGACCGAAGCTGAGAGCAGGGGTCTCCATGACGGTGGGAGGCGCAGAGGTTAGGGCAGCCAGGACCTCGGATGGGGACGTTACTCCTGCGTTTTTCCTGCCCTCTCCCTGGGGCCTCGCATTCCCTTCCTTATGGGGCAGACGACCCACCGCAGTGGAAGCGGACCTGTGGTTCTGTCCACACGGAAACCAGACCCTGTCTCAGTGCTGCTGTCACAGACGTCATGTCATTGTTCGCTTTCGTCACCTCCTTAGAAATGATGGCTGTTGTACCTGCCACGAGGTCATATTTAATATATTAATACAGAGCACACGTGTATTCCTATAGCCCAAATTTGATGGAGGTCCTGATAGAACTAGTTTTCTTTGTAATCGGATTGATTTCACTTTATCCACTCAGACACGTCATCCTGAGCAGGGGTCCTGTCAGCTTCACTCTGCCCGAGCGGCCCAGATGCAGGGAGGGGTAAGGACTGGTCTGGACACAGTGCCTCCTGGTTGTGCCACTTCTCCGTTTCTTTGTCCCTCCACTGCGCTTCTCCTGCTGCTCTCGCTTCTTTTCCTGGACGACTCGCCCCCCTTTCTCGGCTCAGGGCCCGTGTTTCCCCCCTTCCGGAGTTTCCTGGCTCCGCGCCGGCCCCCGTTGTGCGTGGCTGGCGGCCTCTCATCCGTGAGTCATCTCGGCTTACATGGCCCTTCGGAGGCCCCTCTGCTCAGCCCGCGGAAGGAACCTTTCTTGCTGCTCTTTGCCTTACAAGGTCAAGTCAAGTTGTCACTGCGTTCTCGCTTTCTTCGTTTGTCTGGGTTTTGTCTGTGCCCCCGTGTAAGCACGATGAGGGGGGGCCCCGCCTCTGATGCTGACCTTGAGCTTGTCCTCAGCCCAAAGCCGGCACTGGCCGGTGTGCCATCGGTGCTGGGGAAGGCTTAGGTTTGCAGGCTCCTGGGAGCGCAGACCCGGGAGGAAGAGTGGGGTTAAGAAAAGGCGGTGAGAAGAGTCCTCCAGGGGAGGGAGTTCGAGGCATCGTAAGGCCTGAAGTGCAGGGACAGGAGGCAGGCAACGTCTCTGAGGACAGGACCGGCCTGGGGTAGAGATGTGAGAGGCGTTACGTGCTTTCCTTCATGGAAGCGATGACCTTGGGAGTCTGTCCCTCTGAACGTGGTGTGTCCCAGAGTGCGGTCTCCTGGACGGAGACCCGGCAGCTGACCTGTTCTCGGGCAGGGTCCTGGCCTCACCCAGACCTCCAGAGCCAGTCTTTGTACCAAGCCGGCCTGGCCTCCTCGAAGGCTGTGGGGCAGTGAGCACAGGGCCGGGCAGGGCCGGGCAGCGGTGTTGGGGGGCAGGAAGCACTGTGTTCCAGGAGGTGAGCAGGAAGAGCGGAAACGGAGGAGGACACCCAGGAGAGCCAGGGCGGGGTGCCTGCAGAGGGTCACGTGCACAGAGCGAGCCGGTAGAGGAGGACCCAGACAGGGGTGGTAACTGCGCATCGTCAATATGGTCCCATCGGTGCTTGGCCTTGTCACACAGTGGACTCCTTTGTGGGTGAGAACGTGTCAGGCGTTGGCACACTGCACGTTCATGCTCTCGGCTGGGTCTGGGAAGGACAGGACAGGGCTTGGTGTGAAATCCCACAGGAAAAGGGGCCAGTATGTCGTAAACCGTCTGAAATGCTTGGGGTGGGCTTTTCGTCACCAGGAGCAATTACTTCCCACAGCCAGTGTCCCCTGCGACTGTGCATCAGCCGCAGAGCCTGAGGGATGGTCTCAGTGACAGTCACCTGCGGGCAGGAAGCCAGGTGCTTCAGGCCGTTTCCGTCTCCCCTGGGAAGTCAGGCGAGACCTCCGTGTCCTGGGCCAGAGACACGGCACGTGTGGCCACGTGACCACAGCCCTCCCGGTCCTGTCCCTTCTCCCGCAGGCTGAGAAGTTCGGCGACTCCTTCGTCTTCGAAGGCCTGCTGAGCGAGCAGGTGAAGGCCGGCATCCAGCAGGCAGTGAGTACCCGGCGGCTCCCGAATGTCAGTGTCACCGCCGTGGCCCCGGCTGTCCGGCTGCCCGGCTGTCGCGGTGAGCAGCGCTGCTCTGAGCCCGGCGCACAGGGGCCTCCCAGCCCTTGGCCTTGGGGCGCCCTGGGGCTCAGCCTGCGGCTCAGCCTGCTTGTGGCCGCCATCTGTCGGGACTGTGCTTTGCAGTCTCTAGGGATGGACGTGAGCGTGAGTCCCTCTGGGTTAGGGTTTGCTCTCTGGCTGAACGCGGTTTGTTGTAGAGGTGCCCACGGTCTGCCAGGGCCGTGCTGTGCTGAGAACCGGGCACAGAGGTCCCTCCCTGACCTCAGCCTCAGAGTCCAGGGGCACAGCAATGGAGACCCGGAGCCCAGCATATTGTATTCCTTTCACCTGATTTATGAACATTTCATGTCAAATAGTTAGAAACAAAACGGATAGCACATGCACCCTCTGTTTAAAGAGATTCAGAGGAATAACAGTGTCCCATGGCGCCATGGTGACAGCTGAGAGTCTCAGCGGGGACACCGCAGGCAGGCGCTGGGCGGGGGCGGTGAGGACGGGGCCGGGAAGGGAGCGGGTCGGCTCTCAGGGAGGCCTCGGGGGAGGAGGCCCTGGAGGAGGGAGCCTTGCAGGCGGGCAGGGATGCGTTGGGATCACCTGAGGCCAAGCACCTGGCAGGGCCGGCCTGCCTGCCCCCAGCTCAGACCAGACCTTTGCCGTGTGTGGTCAGCTCGGCTTGCCCTGGGCCGTCCACCCGAAATGCCCTCTGTCTCAAGTGCCAGACTAAGGCTCCTTTACCTGCTGGCTCTGATGGCTCCCGGGCCTGCCTCTCCGGAGTTTATCTCCCTGAGTGATGTGGGTGTTGGTCCAAGTGCCCGCCCTTCGCCAGATCTGCCTGGGACGGGGCGCTGTGCCCTCAGGCCCCGAGGGAGCCTTGTCAGGCGTGCAGGCCGGGGACCCTCTGTCAGAGCACGTGGTGTTGGAAGCTGCTGGCTCCGACCTGGCGTGACCCGTCCAGGTGGGGAGCGCACCGGGGGTGGGGTGAGGCAGGGTCGCTGAGCTGCTCGGAGGCCCGGGCCGGCTGATGGATGAGATAAGCAGGGGGCCCGTTCCAGGCCGTGTCTTGTGTCTGCTTTGAAAAGAGCAGTTGTCGCCTGACCTGGGCGTCCGTGTGTGGCGTCTGCCCAGGAAGCAGGAAGCGCGATAGCCCTGGAGGCGAGGGCCCAATGGGACGGGATAACCTGCCGAGACCCCGAGGCGCAGATCTGAGCCCTGTTCGCGTGTCCTCGGGTGCCCTCTCCGGTCCGGGCCTCCAAGTCTGACTTGGGTGAGGAAAACACATGGGCCCGACACTGCTCCCTCCAGACCTCAGCGAGGGCCCACCGGGAGCCGGTGGTGCCCAGGGCACGGCGCTCTCAGAAAACCTGTGCACCAGCCGCCATCTAGCGTGGGTGGGCCTTCCCACCTGGCCGCCACCTTCCCCTTCCGAAGAGGCTGTGGCCGGATGGAACACGGGCCAGGCCGAGTCTCTCCCCACAGGAGGGCCCCGGTCAGAGGCTCTGTAAGGTTGGGTTTGTCCAGGAGAGGTCAGCGGGGGGAGGGCCGGAAGCCATGGCAGCCTCAGGAGCGGGCGCGTCGTCATGATGTCTGGGGGCTGCGGCGGGCAGTGCTGGCCCTGCGTTGCGGTGCGGTGTGAGCCGCTCCTCCTGGTGGAGATGCGCTCACGCCGAGTCTGTTCTCGTATCCCGGGGAAGTGCGTGTTTGGACGGAGCCCGTGGGCCCAGCCGTTTCTGTGGCCGCGCTGCTCACTGGCTCCTCTTTGCTTTGAGGTGGCGGCGGCTCCCTGGTGGTCACCTGTGAAAGGCGCCAGCTGGCGGCACCCGGAGGGGCCCGACTCCACCATCCTGCACAGGTGAGGCCGCTCCCCCCATGACGGGTTCAGTCCCGGCAGCGCCCGCGGCCGCGAGCGGTGTGGTGCTCATCGGCTGGGGTAGGCGGGGACTCGGATGTTCTCGGGGACGAAGCGGCAGGAAATGGCATGTTCTGAGAGGACCCGGACCCTGCACCTGCCTCCCTCACCGTCCTGCAGAAGGCGCCCCTCAGACCAGCCAGCCCCCGCCCCACGGCAGGTCTGTGTCCACGGCTCCTCCCTGAGGGTGGTGGGAGCACCGTGTGCGGAGGAGCGGTGTCCAGCCAGGTGGCCGCTGTGCACGCTCAGGCCTTGGCTCAGGGCTCCTGTCACCGCCTCCCTCCCCCACCCCTCCCCGTCCGGGGCTGACACACTTTGAAGCCACCAGCTGACTGAGACTCCGCGAGCAGAGCAGCCGCACGTCTGGGGGCTCGGAGGTAATTATCTCCGCAAAATAGGGCAGCGCTGAGCCCGGGGCAGCTCGGGGCCCAAGGACACTGCTCCCTGGCCCACTTCTGGGCGGGACGCTGCCTGTTTCTGACCACGTTCCTGGTGACTGCCTCATGGCTGAGGGCCTACGTGCCAGGAGGCCTTCGGAGGCCGGGGTAGCAGCCTCCACAGGGGACAGCTGGGAGCACAAGTCACCAGGACCTGGCTCTCAGGGTGACTGCCCGCTGAGCTCCCACAGCATCTGTCTTGAACTTAACGGCAGAAGAAAGAGCTGAGGGAGAAGGAAACCCAGAAGGCATCTCTTTTATTTAAAAAAATCCCTTTATTGGTTTCAGAGGGAGAGAGAGAAAGAAAAGCACCAGTGATGAGAGAGAATCATGGACCGGCTGCCTCCTGCACGCCCCCATTGGGGTTCGAGCCCACAGCCCTGGCCTGTGCCCTGACCGGGAATCGAACCGTGACCTCCTGGTTCCTAGGTCAACGCTCAACCCCTGAGCCATGCCGGCAGGTGAAAAGCGCATCTCTTACCGGTTCCAGGTGCAGTGACTGCACTAATGGGCACTCGGCAAGCTTTTGTTGGGAGAATGGGGCCGGGGTGTGCTCCTGCAGGGAGTGAGAGAGGTGCAGGAATGGACTAGGAGGGCGCGGGCCACTCAGACAGCGCCCAGGGGATGTCCGTCCCTGTCTTCTCAGACTGCCCTCGGCCCTCTGCACCTAGAAAATGTAAGGACTGGACTCCTGAGGGGCAGGCAGCTGCTGCCCGCAGCAGACAGGGAGCAGGTGTGGGGGCTGGGGGCCCAGTGCCCAGGATGGGCTGTGGGAGGGGCGGTGGGGGCGGAGCTAAGACTGTGGGCCCACAGAGTCCCGGCCAATCCCGCAGGGGCCTGGGTGCGGACCCTCAGACCTGCTGCCCACAGGATTGCTGCAGAGGATGGAACGACTGGGCCTCATGCAAGCCCGAAAAATGAAGAAATGATTGTACTTCTAGGAGGAATTGCATCCTCTGGGAGCTGGGGACTCAGAGCCCTGTGGGGTTGGGGGGGGACTAGCTTGGGGACCAGGACGGCGTCCGTGTCGGGAGCAGGGGACTGGGCTTTGGAAGCTGCTCCGTGCCTGCGTTCACTCCCTCTCGCTCCCGCCCCCAGGCCGGACCACCCGGTGCTGCACGTCTCCTGGAACGACGCGGCGGCCTACTGCGCGTGGGCCGGGAAGCGCCTGCCCACCGAGGCCGAGTGGGAGTACAGCTGCCGCGGGGGCCTGCAGGACAGGTACGGCCCGCCGTGCCCGGCAGGCGCCGCCGCTTCGATCGGGGCCTGGTCTGGGTGGAGAGCCGCTCCACACCGGCTCCCGTCCTGGGCTTGCCTCGCTGTGACATGCCCAGTGGTCAGCAGCATGGGCGGGCGGCTCCTGCGTGCTTGGTGCCCGCGGCCAGGCTGGGGTGGCACAGGCCTCCCAGGCTCGGGGCGGCCGCCAGCGTTTTCCTACTCCGGCTTCTCCGGAAGCAGCCGAGAGCCGGGAAACTGGCTGTGGGAAAGGCTCCTAGAGGCGCGAGGCCGCTCTAACGCGTGCGGCCACAGCGCGGGCGCTGCCCTGGGGCCCAGCCTGGGTCGCCTCCCGGCCTTCTGCAGGTTCCTGAGGTCCAGGGGCTTCCAGGGAGCCCCAGGCAGACAGGTGTGGGGCCTGGACGAGTACTAGCTGTGTGGAAGTTAACAAAACCCTGAGTAGGAGCTTTGCTTATTTTTACACATTGAGGATTTAAAATCCCGTCGCTCACTCAGAGCACGTGAACGGTGTTCCCTTTCCCTGCTTCCCAGCTGGCACGCGGCCAGCTGAGGCCTGGGGGGCACTGACGCCGTGGCCGGCTGACGCCGTGGGTCTGACTGACGCCCGTGGCCGGCTGATGCTGTGGGTCGGACTGACGCCCGTGGCCGGGCTGACGGCTGACGCCTGCCTCTCTCCCACAGACTCTTCCCCTGGGGCAACAAGCTGCAGCCGAGGGGCCAGCACTATGCCAACCTCTGGCAGGGCGAGTTTCCCGTGGCCAACACCGGCGAGGACGGCTTCCGAGGCACCGCGCCCGTGAGTAGCCAGGCTTCGGACGCGGCGGCAGCTCCGGGGACCAGAGACGGGGGACGGGGGACCACCTCGCTCCTCTCTGCCCCACGTGCCACCCCACGTCCAGCCACTGTGCCCACAGCGAATGCCAGAGTCTGCCCGGCAGTGTTTATAACACGTTTCCTGTCTGATCGGGGATAGTTGCTGTAGAAACGCGGGGAAAACAAGAGGAGCATGAGGGAGAAAATTCCCCGTCGGCCCTTTTGGCATGTGGTGCATCCCGCCCGTTTCGGCTCGAGGCGCTGAGGACGGTGGTCAGTGGCGCTGGCTGCGGGGAAAGCTGGCGTGGGTACTCGGTGCCGGGACACTGTGTGGCCAGCACGGCTCAGCCCTGAGGACAGGCTGCCATTGGGTGTCCTGGGGTGGCTCTCTCTGCTTCTGCAGATACGGTCTGACTGTGATCGGTACTGGCTCCCCGTTAGGAAGGCTGTGCTGGCGGCCCTCCAGGGCGCCATTATAAACTCTCCTCTGGCTTCTGCACCCCCCGGGGAGCGCACGCCGCTGGAAAACAGCTTTTCTTTTTATTTGCCTGCTGGCCACATTGTATGTGCCTGCTGGATAAAAATCAGTGTTCAGGCTTGGAACTTGCAGCTCCTAGTGCGTTTCTGCTCACAGAGATTTCTTTTTTGTTTGTTTTTATTGATTTCAGAGAGGAAGGGAGAGGAGAGAGAGATGGAAACATCAATGGTGAGAGAGAATCATTGATCGGCTCCCTCCTGCACGCCTTATACTGGGGAGGAGCCTGCAACCCAGGCCTGTGCCCTTGATCAGAATCGAACCTGGGACCCTTCCGTCCGCAGGCCGACACTCTGTCCGCTGGGCCACACCAGCGAGGGGACACACACAGGTCTCTAAGCGAGGTGAGTACAGGACCGCGGTTTCCCTTGTGTATCCTCAGGTCGATGCCTTTCCTCCCAACGGCTACGGCCTGTACAATATCGTGGGGAACGCGTGGGAGTGGACGGCAGACTGGTGGACTGTGCACCATTCCGCTGAGGAGGCACTTAACCCAGTGAGTTCATCCCCAGGCCCGGCCGCCGCGGGCCCCCGTGGTTCTGAGGGGGTCTGTGCTCTCGCGTTAGTCCCGGGGTTTCCCCAGGGCGGGGGGCGGGGGGGGGGGCGGGGCGCTCCGTCCGTCTCTGATCTCACCTGGCTGCATGTGTGCCCGGGAGCCTCCTAGGAAACAGGAGGTCAAGGTCAGGGTACTTGCCCAGGCTGTGGGCTTGGTCCCCAGTAGGGGGCGTGCAGGAGGCAGCCAGTCAATGATTCTGTCTTATCATTGATGTTTCTATCTCTCTTTCTCTCTTACTCTCTGAAACCAATAAGAGTATATTTAAAAAAATAAATACTTAAATAAATAAGTAAATTAAAAAGCAAGTTCCTTCCTGGTCAGCAAAGGGTTTATTAGGGTTGCACGGTAGGCTGTGAAGACCTCATTCAGAGAGGCCGCCCCTGGGAGAGCAGGCAGTTAGGGTGCAGGTGACTGCAGATCAGGGGGAGGGGGGTCACGGGGGTGATGTTGGGGTGACATGGGGTGTCACTGCAGCGTCCCAGTCATCAAGGCAACACGTGCTGAGGGTTGAGAGGCGGCTGGGCCTCCTGGAATTGGAGGGGGGTTTGGGGGTGCAGGGGTGCAGGCACAAGGCCCTGGCCGGAGTGCACGTGGGTGTAGGCCGCCCCCGGAGCTGAACGGCCTCCGTCCAGCCAGAGGCAGTGGCTCCCTGGTCTCAGGAGCTCTCTCTCCGCAGAAGGGGCCGCCCTCTGGGAAGGACCGGGTGAAGAAAGGCGGCTCCTACATGTGCCATAAGGTGAGTCAGGCCCGAGCCCGGTGGGGTGTCTGGCCGGTGCACACGTCCATGTGCACTCACTTCTCCCTCTGCAGTCTTACTGCTACAGGCACCGCCCTCCCCTCTCCCCCCTGCAGTCCTACTGCTACAGGCACCGCCCTCCCCTCTCCCCCCCCTGCAGTCCTACTGCTACAGGCACCGCCCTCCCCTCTCCCCCCCTGCAGTCCTACTGCTACAGGCACCGCCCTCCCCTCTCCCCCCCTGCAGTCCTACTGCTACAGGCACCGCCCTCCCCTCTCCCCCCCTGCAGTCCTACTGCTACAGGCACCGCCCTCCCCTCTCCCCCCTGCAGTCCTGCTACAGGCACCCCCCTTCCCTCTCCCCCCCTGCAGTCCTACTGCTACAGGCACCGCCCTCCCCTCTCCCCCCTGCAGTCCTACTGCTACAGGCACCGCCCTCCCCTCTCCCCCTGCAGTCTTACTGCTACAGGCACCGCCCTTCCCTCTCCCCCCCTGCAGTCCTACTGCTACAGGCACCGCCCTCCCCTCTCCCCCCTGCAGTCCTACTGCTACAGGCACCGCCCTCCCCTCTCCCCCCTGCAGTCCTACTGCTACAGGTACCGCTGTGCGGCCCGGAGCCAGAACACCCCCGACAGCTCCGCCTCCAACCTGGGATTCCGCTGCGCCGCCGACCACCTGCCCGTCACCAGCTGAGGCCACGCCGAGCCCAGGCCCAGGAGAAGGCGTGTCCGACCCCCCGCTCGGCCTCCCTGGGCAGGAGGGCCCCGTGTACAGACCCCGGGGCGGGGCGGGGCGGGCCCGCCAGCTGCCAAAGGAACTGCCTGTGAGACCAAATCACTGGCCTGCTCTGCACGTGGCCGTCGGTGCTGGTTGGGGACCATTGCCATGTTTCCCTTTGGGGCTTTTATAGGGGGAGGGAGCCCGGAGCGAGGCTGCGGGGCTGTGCTCTCCCTGGCGCTTCTGGGTTAGACCCCGGTCTGCAGTGACCGTCGGCCAGGGAGGGGTGCTGGGCCTCAGGCTTCACGGTTCCACACGTCAGGTGGAGTGATTTCAAAGCATGTGTGACGGGTCATTTCTGAGCTGCTCCCACGTGTGACCTGTGTATCCTAATCATGTGACGTGAGAGTTCTCTTAGGCTTTTGGGGTGGGGGGGGGCGCGCTGAGCCTTACAGTCACTTGCACTTTGGTTTTCAAGGACAAGGGCGTCGCTCATGCTTTATGGCGACTCCCATGGCCGTGGCCGTGGCCGTGGGTGTGAGGCCAGCCTCCGGGCGCGCAGGCAGCCTGCGGTGACTCTGAGCTTTAGCTTTAACGTTAAGTGCCTTTGGTTCAGGGGGGCAGTCACAGCCCAGCCCCCTCCCCAAAGCTCCTGTGGGTGTGGGCGCGTGCCAAACGGAGAAGCCTGTGAGCCCAGACGCAGGGGCGGAGGCGAGCGGGGACTGCCCTCAGGCCCGAGTGGGGAGGGAGCAGGGCGCTGGCTGCGGGGCCGATGCCTGAACCAGCGTCAGTGGAATAAACTGTGTGCCGAGTCCGCCTCACACCCACATCCTTTCTGCTCCTCGCGCTTTCTTTACAGAGATGAGGGGCAGGGCCGGGCTTGTGTGCTGGATGCCGTCCCTGCCCAGCTGCTCACCCCCGGTGCGGGCCGCCGTGGGAATTCGTCCCACAGCAGGCCATCTCGCCGGGGCCTCGGAGGAGGCGCCTCCGGGGCTGCCTGGGCTGGGGCCTGGGACCCGCACCGGCAGCGACGCTTGCCGGTCAGGACCCACCGGGCCCATGCAGACCCCTGATGGTCCTCCCCTCCCTTTCCTCACTCGATTGCTGCTCCTCTTTTAAAATAGACCTTTATTGGTTTTAGAGAGGAAAGGAGAGGGAGAGACGCACATCCATGATGAGAGAGAATCATGGATCGGCTGCCTCCTGCACGCCTCACACCGGGGGTCCAGCCTGCAAGCCAGTTGCCCTGACTGGGAATCAAAACGTGATCTCCTGGTCCATGGGTCACACCAGCCCCTGAGCCACACCAGCCCCGGGCTGGATCGCTACGTTGTGTCCTACAGCCCTGCGTCCGCTCCTCCCTGCTCCTCCCCCTGCCTGAGCTGTAAGTCTGCGGATACAATGTTTCCCCACAAACTTTCACCAAGTCTGGCTCCTTCCAAGCAAAACAAACAGCGCCTTTGCTTAATTGAAAACTAATGTGGGGAGTAAGGTGGTTCTCTAAGCCTCCGCTTGCCAAGCGCCGTTCTGACTGGTTCTGTCCCACCTGCTTGTTTGCGCCTGGCTATATCCTGCGGCGTCTATTTTGGGTCTCTCCTTGCACAGTACTGCTCTATAGCATAAATATTTGGGGGGCGTTTGGCTTAGTCTTTAGAATCTCGTCTTTAGCGATTCCGCTCATGTAAGCATTTAAGACAAGATCCTAGCTAGCCCTTCTCCCAAGAGGGTGTCCAGCTTCCTGCCTGCGGAGTGCACCGGCTGCAGACGGCTGACCCACGCACCCGGGGGCCTGCTGTGACCATGAGCAGACAAGACGCAGTGCGCAAGCTTCGGCTTGGATGTCATAGGCCTTTTGCAAAACCCCGCCTTCCGCAGGCTGCACGCACACAACAGGACGTAGGCACAGCGGCTGGCAGACACTCGGACTTTAGGGAACTGGGGAACGGGAGCGGACGGCACGCAGACCATCCTGGGAAGCCTGTAGTCGCTCACATGCCCGCGGCATCGTAGCCAGTGACCAGCCTGTGGCCCCGGCCAGCCTCACGCCCTGGGCCCTTCCTTCTCCAGGTGCAAGTCTTGTTCGTCCTCACCCGAGATTACTTTCCCACTGATTTTATTTTTTAATATATTTTTTATTGGTTTCAGAAAGGAAGGGAGAGAGAGAAATAGAAACATCAATGACAAAAGAGAATCATTGACTGGCTGCCTCCTTCATGCCCCCCACTGAGGACCAAGCCCCCAAACCAGGCAGGTGTCCTGACCAGGAATCAAACCGTGATCAGGTTTATAGGTCAGGCCGGCCGGGCTCCACTGGTTAATTTTGAAGAGAGGAAGGGCGGGAGGGGGGACGACTCCAGGGACCAGCGGGGAGAGAAGTGTCCTCGTCAGGTGGTGCCAATAAGAGGGTCACCTGCCTGCTTCGTGCTTGTGAGGAGGGGCCCTCGGGGTTGCTGTTGAAGCAGCAGGTGGGTTGACCCCTTAGGGGTGCAGACACCACGTGGGCATCCCCCCACAAAGCCCTCGCTCAGCCCCCACTGCCCCTGCGGAGGGAACAGGTGTGGTTCCCCCAGCCCAGCTGCCTGCCTTGGGAGGTGGCAGGGACGGTCGCCCTCTGCTGGCCGGTCCCCGTTACTGCAGAAGGTAGAGGCCTCTCAGCGGCCAGCCAGTGCCCAGGGAGCCAGCCCAGCACCCGTTCCCCCTCACAGCCAGAGCCAGGGGGAGTGCAGCTGGGAGGGAGTGCAGCTGGACTGGGAGTCGGGATGGGCTCTGCCTGTGGTGTGTGGGGCCCCATCTCACGAACGGGTCCCTGTGGCCATGTCACCGCATTGCCCTGCAGACAGGTGACGGGTATCTGAAGAGTCAAACTCACAGAAAGGCTTTTGTTCAGAGGAGTGGAGGCCCGCCCCTTTCCTCTGTTGCCTGCAGGGGGCGCCCACACCCTCCTGGAGGGAAGAGCAGGGCTCCGGGCTCCTGTTGTGGGAAGGTCGACCATCAGAGCACTTTGTTTCCTGGGAGGGAAACTGAGGCACGGAGGCCAAGGGGCGTTGTCTTTGTTCTGTGGGCCTTGCACTGCCCACGCTGGTGGCGTGCAGCCCTGGTGATGCCACACAGTCGAAGCTGTCTCTCCTGCAATGCCTTCCCTGCCCTGCTGTGCCCTCCACCTCCTGCGTCCTGTCCCAGGCTGGTGAGTGAGTGAACGGTGAGTGAATGAATGCAGAGACCATCACCGCAGAGCCGCCAGGGGCTGTGGGAGGGGCATCACGGGATGGGCGCGAACCGGGCCGAGTCCTCCTGCCACCCTGGGCGCGCCTGATCTCGGGGCCTCATCACAGCCCTTTCCTTCCTTCTGACTCGTCCTGGTGTTTTTAATTTGCTATTTAATTTGTTTTTTTAAAATATAAATATTTATTTCAGAGAGTAAGGGAGACAGATACACACACACACACACACACACACACACACACAGGTCAGTGATGAGAGAATCATCAATGGACTCCCTCCTGCACGCCCCACCCTGGGGATGAGCCAGCCACCCAGGCATGTGCCCTCACCAGGGATGAAACCATGACCTCCTGGGTCATAGGTCGACACTCAACCACTGAGCCACACAGGCCAGGCTAATGTGGTTTTAAGTAAAAAGAAAAAATGTACACCGTTGGCATTCTGAATACAGACTAATAAAATTAATACTAATAATTAAAATGTTGAATTTCGCCCGTTTTAAATGCAAAGCTTTGAGCTCCCATGAGGCCTCACAGAATGTGTGTTCTGTATTTTGTTCAAGCAAATGTGTTCTGTTCTCACCAGAACAGTGAACAGACCGAGAGAGAGACAGTAAGACAGTTGTAATTGTGGTGAAATACAAGTAACAAAATTTACAGTGTCACCCTTCCTACGGGTCCAGTTTGTTTACACAAAAGTTCAAGTAGCTGTGCATTCATCACTGCCTTCCACTTCCAGAACCTTCTCGTCTTCCCAAATGGAAACCGTCCCAGGAACCCCCACCCCCCCCCAAGCCCCAGGCTCCCAGCATTCTCTTCCTCTCTGACCTCCACCTCCCAGGTGCCTCAGCCAGGGAGCCCCCAGTCTTGTCCTGGGCCTGACTCCTCTCACTTAGCAAACACCCCCCCCCCCCGGCCCCTCCAGGCTGGGGCATGGGCCAGGGTCCCCCTCATCTCCAGGCCGAGTGACATTCCTGCCTACAGCCGGACCTCCCTGTTTATCCCCCTTGGTCCATGCACAGCGGCATGGCCCGCAGGTCCCCGAGGGGTGGGGGCAGGGTTCCCAACTGGAATACATCCTGTGATGGCACGCCGTCTGCCCAGAGGAGAGAGCTCGGAGTGTGGACGATGTGGCTGAGGCTGGTTGGGTGGCTTCCAGGGAAAGTAAGTTGCTCTGACTCAAGATGTGCGCAGGCCTCGCACACGTGGTGGAACCGTGTGCGAGTGCGTGTGTGCGCTGCTGTTTGGGCTCAGAGTGAAGGACGGGTCTGGCTCCACTGCCCTCAACAACATGGCGCTGAGTTTCCATCTCCATGGCAGGGCCTTCCCGTCTCCTCCGCGAGGATGCCCTCACCTACACGTCTGGACCCCGGGAGAGGGGCTGTGACAGTTACAGACGGAGACGCGAGCTCAGAGGTCCCTGCAGGGCACAGGCTGGCCGAGGCGGCCAGGAGCTGTGCAGCCTCTGGGTGCGGGCCCTCTGCTCTTCCCCCACACGCTGCAGGGACTCCCTGCCTCGAGCTCCGCTCAGAATTAGGGGGGTCCCTGCGAGAGCAGAAGCCAGGATTCACGGGTTACAACTTAGCTCCTGGACCTCCTGCCACCCTGCCCTCCTGTGCTCCGGCTGCCTGGCCAGGAAGAGGCCGGCCCAGCTGGAGAGGGAGCGGGGAGGAGCAGCAGCTGGTGTGTATTTTTGGATTGTTTCTCAGGACTCTCCTCCTGCTTCTCCTCCTCTTCCTGCTCCTCCTCCTCCTCCTCTTCCTCTGACACCATGGCAACCAGGTGCTCCTGAGGGAGCGGCCTGTGACTTGGGCCGAGTTGAGGGGGAGGTGGTCTGTGGGTAGAGACTTTGGCTCCCGTCTGAGCCTCAGATCTGGCATCCAGAATATGGCACGACCACCCAGCTGTCAGCTCCTGCCAAGCCAGGTGCTCCGGAAGCCGAGGCCCAGGCAGGACTCGTTAGGGAAGTGACCACCCCCTTGTTCACGTGACCACTGCTGCGTAGATCACGTGGCCCTGCCCCCTTGTGAGAGGGTGAACTGGGAATGCAGGCAGACAGGGCAGGGTGCAGGGGACACAAAGGCAGAGACAGGCATGGCCATTGGCGTGGCCTAACCACAGGAGCCGGCCGAGCAGAAACAGGAACTGTTTCCGGGCTCAAAGCCGAGGCCTGGGACACCAAGGGGGCTGAGTCACAGGTGCGGGACGCGCAGAGGAGAGGTCAGGTCCTGGCCGGGCAGGAGCAGGAGGGAGCCAGTCAGGGGACGGCACAGGAGGACCCAGAGCAGGCGCGTAGCACCTACCCCTGCTCCACAGGCCTCCACTGGGCCCCCCTCCCCGTGAGGAGCCGGGGCTGCTTGTAACACGCTCCCCACTTCTGCTCACCCTCCTGTCCACGGAGCTCATGCTTGGTGTTGGGAGGCACGACCTGGGAGAAACACGTGGGCTCACCGTTCCGGTTATCTTAGGTCCACCTGCCGACGCTTGTGTGATCACGTGCCCACTCCCCTGCCTCCCTGCCTGGCCCCAGGTTTGGGGGATTGGGTGGCAGTACCCCCAGGAAGGGCGGAATGGAGGCAGGCGAGCTAACCTATGGGCAGGAAGCTCTGCGAGGAAAGCGCACCCGTTTCACGTCCCTCCTGGTTCTGGCTGCGGTGGGCGCTCCCCCAGGCCACTGGGCCGCCACCTTCCAGAGGCAGCCCTCCCCTCCCCCGCCCAGCGGGCTCTCCTCCCCCCACAGGGCCCCAGGCCTCCGGGAGAGGTGGTTCCCAGGGCGAGGCGGGAAGGCTGGCCCGCGGGAGGGGGGCGCAGGCCGAGGGAAAGCACAGAGGTTAGGGCCCCCCTCGGAGAGAACTTTGCAGCCGGGAAGGGCATCCCGTGCGGAGAGTGGACGGGCCCTGTGCCCGCTGGGTGGGCAAGCGGGGGGGGGGCTCCCCATGAGGCCATGTCCCGGGTTTGCTCTGCGGGAGGCGAGGCTGCAGGTCCCCGCTCTGCTCCCTCGGCTGGACATCGGCCCCAAGTCCACGCTGGTCTGGGTTCCAGAATGTCTGTCAGTGCTCAGTGCATCCCTTTAGGAATTTCATCTGTCGCTGCAACTTTCCGCATGGGGCATCTGAGGTGAGCTGGGGAGGGGGTCTGGGGGGTAGGAGGGCGAGTCCCGGCCGCTGGGGGTTTGGAGCCACAGCTGCTGGGAACTTTTTTCTCTCCGAAATGGTTGTGTGTGTAATGTCCCCCTCTAGTGGCCAGATTGTGTTTTGCTGTTTTGTACCAGCGCTGTCTGGAGTTGAACTTTTTATAAAGGGGTGCTGTGGATCTGGGGGAGGCTAAAGGGCAGGGTAGGCAGGGGTTGCAAAACTTTATTCCACAGGAAAAAACTGTCCTATGGTTTCTGTCAGTTCCAATCTCTACATTAAAAAGAATCTATATATTTTTTTAAATTGATTTTTTACAGAGAAGAAGGGAGAGGAATAGAGAGTCAGAAACATTGATGAGAGACATCAGCCAGCTGCCTCCTGTACACCTCCCACTGGGGATGTGCCCATAACCAAGGCACAAGCCCCTGATCGGACTCGAACCTGGGACCTCCCAGCCCCTTTAAGAACTCACCACTTCTGCGTTTGGTATCTCGTTATCTAGAACTGACTGGGAAAAGGGCCCAGTTTTTAACTGGCAGCCGTGGGTCCAGCCGAAAACACAGGGCCATCACCGATGGGAGAAGGGGAGCCGGGAGGCCCTGCCACAGCCCCCAGTGGACTCGCCACCTGCCTCCCGGGTGCGGGTTGCTGCTGGCCCCGGCTTCCCGGAGGGCACCCCGAAGGGACCACGCCACCCGCTGGCCGCCCCTCGCCCTCCCATCCCCTACGCCGGCCCCCCCGGAGCCGGGGCCGGCCCCTCGGGGCTGCGGTACAGGGACGCGTCGTAGGGCAGGACGGCGGCACAGGACGCAGACCCGCAGTAACAGGGCTTCCTCGGTTTCCCGCCGCCTGGCCTGCCCTGGTGTCCCGGGTCCCGGCGGTTCAGGAACCGGCCCGAATAGTCGAAGGAGAGCTCCTCGCCGGGCGCGATGTCTCTGGCCGCGAACAGCGCCAGCCGGGGCACCATGGAGTCCACGCGGACGGGCACCATGAACAGGTTGGGCTCGCAGGAGTGGTTCAGGAACCTGCCCACGTTGCCCACACGCGCGGGGTCCACGAACGTCTCCAGCACCCGCCCGCCGGCCACGTGCTCCCGCACGGCGATGAGGTAGTTGGGGTCCTGCTCCGTCTGCCGCCGAGCTCTGCCCTGAGCCTCGGCGAAGCCCAGCACCTCCCCGGCGTACTCGCAGACGAAGCGGCCTCTGGGGATGGGCGCCAGCGTGCGCAGCCCCCAGCCCTTGCGGGCCGTCCGGAACACCTGCAGGGGGCGCTGCAGGCCCCGCTGCACCACGCGGTTCGCGCAGCGCCCAGGGCACCGGCACAGGGCGTTGCACTCGAAGACGGGCCAGGCGCACCGGGCTGCCGGCCCCGGGTCCCGGAGGGCCCCCTCCTCGTCGTAGTTCTCCTGGTGGCGGAGGCAGGAGCAGGTGCCGGGCAGGCAGGGGCGGGCGAGGCAGGCGCACCCGGGGAAGGTGATCTCCGTGGGGTCGGTGTCCGCTCCGGGCCCGGCCACGTGGTCAGGGCTGTACTGCAAAGCGGAGACAGGGCAGTCAGCGCAGGTCACACCTTCATCCGGGCCCAGGCGGCTTCTCATTCCTCCACAGACAAGCACAGAAACTACCAAAACACAGCGTGTCTGACACCGTAACTCTCCAGTTTGAAAAATAAGATTGGGGCCCTACCGGGTTTGGCTCAATGGATAGAGCTTCAGCCCGAGGACTGAAGGGTCCTGGGTTCGATTTTGTCAAGGGCACACATGTACCTTGGTTGCAGGTGCCCTGGTCCTGGTCGGGGTGCGTGCGGGAGGCAACCAGTCGATGTGTCTCTCACATCGATGTTTTCTGACTCTCCCTCTCCTTTCCACTCTGTAAAAATCAAGGTATGTGACCTTGACTGGAATCGAACTCAGGACCCTTCAGTCCATGGGCTGATGCTCCCAGTGGCCGGTAGACTCATCAGTCAACAGAGCCAAATATAACAGTACAACGATTGAAATTTCTTTTGAGAGCCAAATGTTTTAAACTTAAACTATCTAGGTAGGTACATTGTTATTAATTAGGGTACTCCTAAGCTGGCCTTTGCAAAAAACTCAAGGGGCCAAAGAGCTGTATGTGGCTCTCGAGCCCTAGTTTGCTGACCAAGGCTCTAGTCTATCCACACAAGCTAAGGTGAGAGTTCCAGGGGTGTGTGTGTGTGTGTGTGTGTTTTCCCAATAAACTCAAAGAGGACATTTCTTATAAACAAACCAAGGTCACAGAAGAAGCCAAAATGGAGATGGGAGCCAGAACACTGAAGGGCAAACACCCCTCCTTGCCTGTTCTCAGGTGCAATGTCCCCCTTCTCTGAACGAGGCCTGCTTACCAGCATGAAGCTGGAACCCAAGTGGCACAGACTGGGACTCTCCCATTGTACTGAACGTGGTCCTGTCTCTTCGACACCTAGTCTCCAAGAAAGGCGTGGTCCTGAGGTCTGGGGTGCAGCATGGTGAGGGGTCAGGCTCCTGTCCAGAGCACTGGGCACGGAGCAGGTGCCTCGGAATATTTGATTGCTTGATGGAAGCTCTTAATTTTAAGGTGACCAGACGTCCCGATTTTTAACAATTTGTCCCGTGTCCCGAGGCGTTGTTAAAAATCGGGACTGTCCCGCCAAAAGCAGGACGTCTATTCACTTAATTACTTCTGATCAGAGGGCTGACTTTTCTGAGTCCCTTTCTGTATGGAAACCCTGGAAAATGAGTAGGACGCTGCACAGTGTTCGGGGCTTAAGACTCAGTCCTCGGTTCTGAATCCTAAGGAAGTGCGTGAAAATCTTCACTCCTTTTTTGGTTGTTTCGAAACAGCAGCTACAAGAATCTCAGTACTTGGCCTCCAGCCCCGGGAGTTTGTTTTTGTGCCAAGCGGCTCTTAGGAAACCGAGAGCCAGATCATTCTTTCCAAGGGCAAGTGGAGATCTTAAAAAGGATGTTTCAGCCAGAAAAATAGCTAGATCCAACTCTTAGTTCAAGAAAGTCAATTTTTTCTTCCTACTTAGGTTTCAATATGCTTGTTTCCGATCGAAACATTGGAATGCTCTTCTTTGCCTTTTCACCACAGCGCCCCAACGCTTATTTTTAACTTGAGTTTTTCACGTCTTCATTCTTGTGTGTGCACATACTTGTGAAGGCAGGGCTTGGGGCTGTTGTGACCTTTTATAAAAAAGACTACTTTTTTGTGCTCCATAAATATTGGGGAGCAAACGAGTTGAAGGCACTTTTAGGCTTGTCATTTACATATTTCAAACAGGTTTTATCTCCTTTAAGACTATAGATTTCTGGAGGAAGTGATCTTGTCTTCTTTCTGTAGCTCTGACTCTTACCCAGAGTTCTATGTATAGCCAGCCAGCTGGAACGGGGTGGGTGTGTGTGTGTGTGTGTGTGTGTGCGGGTAGGGGAACAGGGAATGATGTCTGCTGATTGTCATTTATGCCCACCAACTACAGGTGTGAGGACCAATCACAAGGCTTCCTCCCTCCCTCCCCCTTTATAGCAATCAAGTGCTTTCTATCTGCTCTTGTCAACTCAAGGGCAGGATGGTGTTATCACTTTATCTTATATGCTGATTTAACACGGTGCCTGGCACATTACAGACACTCTATTATTTGTTGAATAAAGAAAACGCCTGTCGGTATATTGACCAGGCATTCCGCAATGTTTGGTTTTGAATAAGCTTAAACTGCTTTAAGGTAGTTTGAGAAAACATAACGGTTCCAGTAGCACCCAGTCGGGTCATCCCCACAAGTAGGACCACCTGGGGCTCGAGCTTCTGTCTAGCCCCGCCCCCTACCTGTAGGGTGCAAGCCCCGCCCACGTGGCTGCGCGCGCAGTGCCCCGGCCCGCCAAGCCCCGCTCCCCACGGGAGGGCACGTTCCCGGCGCGCGACTGTGAGGCCAAGCCTCGCCCTTAACCTGGAAAGGTCCTGGCCGCGCCCCCGGCGGCCACACGCTCACGGGCACGTTCTCCAGGCCGCACGCGACGTCCAGGGGCTCCGCGGGGGACTCCGGCCCTTCAGACGCTGCCATCACGCAAAGCGACTTCGCCCGGGTCTCGAAGCGCCTGGGCCTAAATGAGCGCGAGCCTCGCAGAGCATGCTGGGAGTGGCGGCCCCGTAACCCCAATGCCTCATGGGAGTTGTAGTGTTTTCCCCCTCTCCTGTCGCGAGCGGCTTGTGAAGTCAGGCTCGCCCTCTGTTTTAAGCCACAGGCACAACAAATAATACAAAACCTTTGAGGTAGGGACAGAGCTTTGCGGACACAAAACGAGGTGCTTGAGTTTTCCCCGGGAGCCGCGGGGCGGGCCTCAGAGGCGAGGTCCTGGGTCCAGGGTCCAGGGCCTCCAGGTGTTGGGGTCTGCCATGTGCGCGCTCAGAGGAAGGGCTGCACCTGCGGACCTGGAACTGGCAAGCAGGTTGGGTCTCTGTGTCCACGGAGTCGCTGGACCCAGGGCACAGCAGCGGCCCCACCAAAACCCCGCCCCAGGGTCCACCAGCTCGGACCGAAGCCCCTCTGCCCGCAGCTTCTGATGGCCCTCCTGCCTCAGTCTCCCCGCAGCGTGTAGTTGTGACCCAGGTCCCTGCCAAGATCGAGCCCCGACCTTGCCTTGTGGGGGTGACACTAACCCGTCCAGCACCCAAGGCTGGAGCAGCTTAGGTTTTTTCTGTTGTTGTCGCTAATCCCCTCCCCTCCCCTCCCCTCCCTTCCCCTCCCCTCCCCTCCCTTCCGAGCTGGAGAAACACAGCCATTGGTTGCCTCCCACAGGAACCCTGGCCAGGGCCAGGGTTGAAGCCTGCAACGAAGATACCAGAATCCAACCAGGACCCTTCAGCTCACAGGCGGACGCTCTACCCACCGAGCCAAACCCACTAGGGCACATCTTAGCTTTTTAAAACTGTCACTCCCAGATGTTAAACCGGGGTGGTGAGGGCACTGGGTCTTCTCATCCAGTAAGTTTGCGCAAATGGAATCAATCTGAAGGGAACTAATCACAGCAGTTGATACTTTCAGGGGTTCCAGTTCAACTCCTTGACTAGTTTTCTTCTGAGAAGTGCCAGCCCCATAAGGCCCATCACGGGCTGGGCTTCCTGGCGGTCCTGTTTGCATCACACAGCCCCTAAGCCTGGTCCTTGCTCCGGACCACTGGCTGCATCCCCAAGTCCAGCTGGGCCGCTCTGATTCTCTCAGGAGTAGCTGAGGCCAAGGAACAGCTAAAACGGTGTGTGATTTGGGAGCGAAGAGGCAGCCTTGTTCGGTATATTGATGGAGAAGCAGAGAAAAATCAGTCTTCGGAGAGAAAAATGCAGATGAGTGATAAGGAAAGGACAGTTCCTGACACCTGTCCCTTTTCAGTCCTGATCCTTTTGACACACAGGATCCTTTTGACACATTTTCCCTTGTGTTTGGGTTAAGTCAGTGTGGTTTCTGCTCTCCAGTCAAAGAATGTTGACTAGTGAGAATGATGGAATCACCACCATCATCATCATTAGATAATGTGGGCTGGGTGGTTAGCTGCTGTGCAGTTAGGCCATGTCTATGAATTTTTGTTCACTTTGAAAGTTGGTAAGTTTAATGTTTTTTTAAAAGTTGGCATTTTTTTTTTTTAGCACTTTGCTTTTCTGATGTGTCTTCAACTAAAGGATGCTTCCCACAAATAATATGAAAATAAATTTATAACAAAAGGTAGTAAAAATATGAAATACTTAGTGGAAAGGATAATGTAGCAATAAGAGATAATAGTCCTATTGCACACGATACGTGCCTGCTATTGTAAAAAGATAGCAAAATAGACAGTAAATTGGACAGGGAAAATGTCTTTTTAGTAGCTGAAATTTTATGTCAAAGTGTTTGTTTGACATGTGGGTCATTTTGCAATAACAGAAAAAAGTAGCAATCGCAGGCTCCACCCTGAAACCCCGTCCCATCTGTAACTGCGAAATGCGACAACGAAATAGATCACAAACAAAAGAAATGGAGGACAAAAAGCAACTGGATATTGAGTTCAAATCTACGCTTATAAGGTTTTTCAAGAATTTCCTAGAAAAGATGGATAAGACCTATGAGGATATGAAAAGAGATCAACTAGAATTAATAAGGAGTCATCAAGAAATGATAAGGGATCAACAAGAAATAAAAATACATTGTCTGAAATAAAAAATATTTTACAGAGTCCTAAAAACAGAAGGGAAGATCGCAAGAATCAAGTCAAAGGTTTGGAACATAAAGAGCCAGAAGACACTCCTCCACAGAAGCTAGAAGGCAAGAGAATCCAGAAAATTGAAGATAATGTAAGAAACCTCTGGGACAACTTCAAGCGAACCAACATCAGAATTATGGGGGTCCCAGAAGATGAGAGAGAGCAAGATACTGAAAACATACTGAAAGAAATAGTGACAGAAAACTTCCCCCACCTGGTGAAAGAATTAGACTTACAAGTCCAGGAAGCACACAGAACTCCAAACAAAAGGAATCTAAAAAAGACCACACCGAGACACATCATACTTAAAATTCCAAGAGCAAAAGACAAAGAGAGAATATTAAAAAAAGCAAGAGCAAAGAAGGTAGTTACCTATAAAGGAGCACCTATAGGATTGTCAGCTGACTTCTCAACAGAAACCATGCAGGCCAGAAGGGAATGGCAAGAAATATTCAAGGTGATGAATAGTAAAAACCTACAGCCAAAGATAATCTATCCAGCAAAGCTATCACTCAGAATCGATAAAGAGCTTCACTAATAAAAAAAGCTAAAGGAGTTCATCAACACCAAACCAGAATTATATGAATTGCTGAAGGGGGTTCTTTCAGAAGAGAAAGTAAACAAAGATAAAAATTATGAACAACAAATACGTAACTATCAACAAGTGAATCTAAAAACCAATGAAATTAAAAAAAATCTGATGAACAATAGTAACAGTTGAATATAATAGAATCAGAGGTATAGAAGGGGAGTAAACTGACGATTCTTGGGGAAAAGGGGAGAGGGGGGCGTGGGAAGAGACTGAACATAAACTGTGCACCTATGGATGAGGACAATGGGGAGTGAGGAAAGGGCAGAGGGTGGGGTGGGAACCTAGTGGAGGAGAGCAATGGTGGGGGGAAAAAAAGGAACATTTGTAATAACATGAACAATAAAAACTTATTTAAAAAAATTAAAAATCAGTGGAGAAAATATCCTTGGATGAGGATAAGTAAGTAAGTAAATAAAAATAAATTGAAAAAAAAAAAAAAAAAAAAAAGTAGCAATGGATTAAAATAATGTGGGAGTTGATTTATTTTTTTATTTTTTTTTTTTTTTTTTTACAAAATTATGCTCTTGCATTCTTTACACTTTCCAGAAATAGTAGTTTGTGCTCTTGTGTTTAATCGCTACTAAATATATGTTTCCAGCGGAATAAAAAACTTGCGTCTTGCATTGTGGTTTAGTGAGATCCATAATTTTCCCTGTTCGTAAGAACACAGAAGCGTCAGGATTTAATCTCATTCAGAATATTGTTAGGGTAAGTGCTTTAGTTGTCAACTAAATATTCAGGATTGATGGCCATAGAATAGTAACTCCTACTGGTGTGCAATCAAAGGGAGATTGTTGGTAATAGGCGAGGAGATGACAGAGAAGAATTATGTATTTCCCTCACCTGATAATGCCTCCAGCAAGGAATTAATTCTATTCATCAACAACATCTGATCAAGTGTTTTACCAAATCCTGTTACCAAGGCGATGGGAACAGACTCGCTCTGTCTGCAGCTCGAGAGGCAGTCTTCCACACGGTGTCATTCCACTCGGGAAAGAAGTGTTGCATGCTGCCTGTAAGGTTACTTATGACAGCACTTCCTGATTTTTACAAAGTTCTACAGATCCTTCCCCTCATGGGCAATCAGGCGCATGGGCCAGCCTCTTCTGCTTCAAGGTTTGAAAGCAAAGATGTGTAAGCTTAAAGTTTAGGACCACAAATGCCTTGTTCCGGAGAAATCTTGTTTCAGAACACGTACACCTCGCTCTGTGCCCGGCAGTGTGGCTCAGTGGTTGAGCATCAGCCCTTGAACCAGGAGGAGGAGGTCACAGGTTTAATTCCCGGTCAGGGCACATGTGTAGGTTTTCCCCAGTCGAGGGCATGCAGGAGCCAGCCAATCAGTGGTTCTCTCTCATCATTCATGTTTCTACAATAGCTTTCTCTCCCTCTCCCCTTCTCTCTGAAATTAATTTTAAAAAATATATTTTATTGATCTTTTTATAGAGAGGAAGAGAGAGGGATAGAGAATTAGAAACATTGATCAACACCCCCGCAACCAAGGTACATGCCCTTGACCGGAATTGAACCCGGGACCTTTTAGTCCGCAGGCTGACGCTCTATCCACTGAGCCAAGCCGGTTTCGGCCTGACCCATTATTTTATTATTTTTATTCCACGAACGTATGTGTTTGCTAGTAATGGCTGCGTAAGGAAACGCTTGGCTTTTGGTGAATACACTTACACCTGCGCAATGGGAGTTTATCCAAAACGATGGAAAGCGAATCACATTCCAGGCCTGCTTGTGCAGCCGCTGAGTTGTTTCCATGTTTGGTTTGGTTTTGCTTGGTGAGCAAACGGAGCCGAGGTGGACCCTTAGACACAGGTTGTGGGGAGCAGCCTTCTGTCCGGAGGAACCGGGAGGGGCAGGGGTTTGAGGATGACATTGACCTTGAAGGACAGGGCACTTCTTGCTCCCTCTTTTGGAAAGTGTCTGGAATAAACAGGAACCCGTCTTCAGCTTTGTGCCTGGAAACTTATTTTCGTCTTTCCTCCTCAGTGGAGGCAAAGAACCCATTTCCTGCTGAGGGCGGATCAGACAAGAGCGAGGGATCAATGAGCGTGGTGGTAAAAGCGACTTCATTTCCGTCCCCGGTAGAAATATCAAGGGCTCCCTCCCTCAGCGTGACGCCGAGTTATCCATTATTCACCAGGAGCCTCTTCTGGAACAAAGCGAGGCGCCTGTGATTAATTTTGCATCATGAAGCAGAGGGAGAGGCAGGGAGGGAGGGAAGGCTCTGTAGAGCGAGTGGGAGCGGCAGGACAGGCGGACGGGGCAGGGTCTG